TTCCATGTTCTCGCCATTGGTGGATAATGGTTCTCACTGTGGTTCGCTGGAGTCCCAAAGCTTAAGAAATGGCTTTTTAACCTTTTCCAGACTGATAAATCTCAATTACTCTGTTTCTCATTTGTTCCTGAATTTCTTTGGATCGCAGCATGATGTCTAACTTTTGGTCTACTTCACTTTGTCAGGCAGGTCCTATTTAAGCGATTTCTTGATTGAGAACAGGTGTGGCAGTAATCAGCCCTGGGTGTGGCTAGAGAAATTGAACTCGGCTTTCCAAAGATGTGATAAACCACAGTTGATTTATGTTTTAATCACTTTTTCCACACAGGACCATGTAGGTTTGGATTTTTTTTCCCCTTAATAAAAACCTTAATTTAAAAACTGCATTTTGTGTTTACTTGTGTTATCTTTGTCTAATATTTCAATTTGTTTGATGATCTGAAACATTTCAGTGTGACAAACATGCAAAAAAATAAGAAATCAGGAAGGGGGCAAACACTTTTTCACACCACTGTATATATTGTCCTCAAAACAAGGCTGGTTTTTCTTTATCTTATACTTCGTTTCCGTAGCAAGGATGGGCTCGTATTACGTGAAGGTTACATGCTAGGGGGTCCTTTCACCCTGTCCAAAACAACTTTCATTAACTTCTCAACTGTAAAGGTCTTTATTACAGGATACCTTGCTCATGGTTTGTCTTGCTCATAGATCTACATCCTACTTTTTGTAGTGGACCTTAAAAGATAGGTATAGAAAAAAAACACATGGATAGCTAAAGATCTAAATGACATTTCCAGCTTCACATTGGGCTTGAATTGTGTGCAACAATCTAAAATGCAAAAACAACACAGCCAGATGCTCAAGATATCTTGATAAGTGGGGTACGTATTGAAAATGTATAAAAGGATTGGCAGTTGTCAAGCACAAACGTTATACTCAAAATTAAATACCAAGACCTTTCTTGAAGACTCTGCAGGCCTTATAATCAAAAGAAATCAAGATTGAATTTAGAACCTTGTATTTTTAAACATGAGAAATCATCGTCAAAGGAATTTACAGACTTTTAATAAATCTTCAGAAACTCAAACAAGGCCCTTCTCGTATTCACATCATTAGAAAATGTTTTTGTGGAAACTGAATTGGTTAGTGAGGAGATGCTAATTTACATGCTCAGAAGCAGTAGCTGCTCCCATCTGGCTAGTTGGCCTTTTAGAGACAGACGGGTATAGATTATCTCAGCCAGACCCGGTCCCCCCCTCCTCCTGCCACCCCCAGGCGACTGCACCCAGACTGGCACACTCATGGCCTCCTGCTCACTGACCTTGGTGGGGGCGTTCGGAGGGGGGAGGGAAACAGACAGCTCCAGAAATGCTTTCCAAAACCCATACTGTTCCTGCTGAACAGATGTCTGAGGGGTGCCTTGCTCAGTTACATCGCTGAACCCTTCGACTCACCATCGCTGCATTGCTAAGGATCTTGACAACATGAATGGACCCTTGTACTAGACAAGAATCCTAACCATTTCGTTACCTTTTAAAAATGAACAAGACTCCTTTTTCAGAAAGCACATTCTATCATTACAGTTCATACATTTCGGTGATGTGTGACGAAGGAAAGGAACACAAGTTCTCCAGTTTGATCTGTAGGCGGGCTGTACCGTGTGGCAGATTTCGGGACATTTTTTCTATGTGGATTTGTGATGCAATAAAACTCACATGGATATTGCTCTCCCAATCACATCAGAAAGCTAGGGATGCTACCTGGATCCATTGAAGAAATTACTGGATAGTGTGCCATTTAAAGAAAGCAAATAAACCAGAACTGTTGTGAAAATACACAACTAGGGAAAAAAACAGACCCTGAACAGCACCGTACAAGAATCAGCAGCCTGGTTAACAAAGGGGATAGCCATTTCCATTCACCCCATTACAAATCCTGATCCATCATATTTTACATTCTCAACCAAAAAATTACTAATACGACTGAGGCTACATCAAGCTACTTTGGGTCCACATAAACAGGCAGAAAGTTTATCCGGAAAACTGTGATTAGAATTTCTATAACACTCTGAGGTAAGGGAAATTTTACATTTCAAAAGACCTGTAAATCTATCGGGACCAGATTAGACTACAAATGAAATAAGCTTTAACCTCATATATATATATAGTAGTAATTTAATAAGTAACAGAATAATGAAATTATTCAAAAACTTAAATGAGATATTTATTACAGTGCAGGTATCAGTGATTCTAGAAATATACATATGCATTTCTTGTTGATGTAAAAGTTACTTGCATACGTTTCTTGAAAAAACACACTTACCTTATAAAGTAGCAGCAGAAAATCAAACTTAGGACAAAGACAAAAATGCCTGTTCCAAAGATGACCATGTAAATGTTCAGAGGAAGGTCCTGGAAGGTGATTGGAGGCATTGTGCACGATTTATTTGTGTAAACCAGCCCCAGACCACAGAAGCACCCTACAAAAAAAAAAAAAAGATGAATTTAACAAGGCTGTATACATCTACACACAAATAAATGCAGCAACAGAATATTCCGTGATTCAACCTTGCACAGGTAGATGACAAAAATAGGGAATTCAGGGATTTTGCTGATAAATGTCAAGGAAATTGGTAACAGACCCAGATGTTCTTTAATTGAGGTGGTCAATTAATCTAACGTCTCCAACGGAGGCTGTCACAGCAGAAGAGTATAAATGTGCAAAAACCAAAATGGTCTGATAAGTCACAGGCTCAATGCTCAGACCTTTTTAATATTGTGACTTCCGGCCACCTTTTGCTTGGAATTTCACTAAGGTCTGACCTCTCACACTAAAAAGTTACCCTGGTGGGCTGGCAGAGCACAACACCCTTGTCTGTTTCATTATGAGCCCAGGAAGGGTCTTCAGCATCACACCAATATCAGTTTAAAGATGGTTGGCCTCTTGAAAATGCCGTCCAGCACCATGCGCCAAACGAGAACTAGGTTATAAGTTAGCTCACACAAGCTCGAGCTAACATTCTAGCCATTGCAGCTTCCAGACCTTTTTAAGGCAAGGAAGGAAGTTTAACAGGTCTGCTTCCCCTCATCAATGCAGCAACCATTCTCATCTTATGAAATAGGCTGCTGGACTCCAAGGTCCCTGCTCATCTTGATCGCCTCTTTTTGCTGTGAATGAAGGCTTTGCATGCACCTCATCCTTACTATTTCCATGACATGACAAGATTCTACACAACTCCATGCACTGAGGAGGACTTGCAACCTGTGTCATGACCTTTACATTAATCATGCTGTGCATTTCAGTGTTTCACTGCGTGTGTAAAGGTTGGCCTTGTAAGCAGACATCACCACAGACAGGCAGCTATGACATGCAGAAAAAGATCTACCAAGTCAGTCCTACAGAGGTCATTTGTTTTTGACCATGTGAGATCTGGTTACCTTTTTTATTGCAATGCCTTTGTCATTTCTTGTTGCTCTTCATTTTGAGACTTATTATGCTTATTACTGTGCTGGTATTCCCTTCTACAGCTAAATTTCCAAAGATGCAATGGGATTTTTTTTTTTTACACATTATTCTTCAAATTCAAGATGTAGTCCTCACCTTAATGATTAAACTAACGATAGAGGCCTAAGTAACCCGTTTCTAGTACTTCCAAACCCAGTCCTGGAGAAATGCACAGTTGCAGGTTTTCATTTCAAACAAGCTTAATTCCCTAACTGAAGTCTTAATTGAATGAACAATTAATTGATTGAAATATATGCAGTTTTTATTCTATGCAAATGTTTGGAATTTGTATTTCACTTATGAAATGCTATAATTGAGAGGCAACTTTCAACATGTCCTAGAGCTGAAAACAGTCAAACAGTTCAAATCAATCCTATTATGATGTCGATTTAGGGTTCGGTTGTGTCACGGAGCTCTGCCAGAGCTCAGACCTGCAGGTGTGTGGTCCTCCAAGATCAGGTCTGGGAACTTCTCACAGCCCACAAAACAGCCAGTGCACTTATGTCATGAGGAGAACTTTCCAGGAATGAAAGTTTATAGGCAGATGTGGAAATCCCTGTGTTTATGGCAGTCATTAAAAAAGTTGCAGTTTTAACCCCTTAAAAAAAAACTCAGTGACAAGCAGAAACAAATTTCAACACCTTTTCCCCGCAGTATTGGCAGTGTTCTCGGGTTTTTCTTTTTGTTCACATGTATCCAACCGGTCTACAGAATTAAATACATATATTCTGGTAAAACTCAGCATTTCCGAGCACTGCTATTATTTCACCAGCTCTTTACACCTCGTCTCGTTCTGCATTCAGCTATGAAACTGTGCCAAGTTGAATGTACTTACAGGTCAGTGATTTCTGAAAGAGTAAGAACCGCAAGAAAAATCACTTAATGTTCTTTTGTCTCTACATGGGATTGGTACCACTAAAAAGGAAAACCAAATGTCTTGACCCAAGTGAGATGAGCGATAGCCAAGGTCTGAACTGGGCAAATATGCAAAATCATTGCCCTGGGACCAGTTTGTGGGATCTAATTGCTTACTAACAGGAATAAACTAACAAGTCTGATCCTTTTTAGTCTTAAGCAGGGAAGATTATGAGGGGACCTGATACAAATATTCAAAATCCTCAAAAGAACTGAAAAAGCCAACCCAGCAAACGTCTTCAGAAACAACAGTACGACACAAACCAGAGAATACAAATACTTTTTTTCCCTACACTTCAATTCAAGAGCAGGAAGCACTCCCCCCCCCAGAGGACTGTGGGAGTATGGAACCCTGGTATGTTTTTTTAAAAATGGCTGAATGAGATCCTCCAATCAATTAGCAACTGAATACCAATTTAACTAGATGGGCTGAACAGTCTCCTCTCTTTCGAAACCTCTCTTAAGGCAAGTGAATGCAAACTATACTCTGGAAGAGAATAATAAAATAACTGTCCTATATCAAAGATTGAAATTGTAATTAAAAATGTGCAGCAAATTAATTTGGGTTTTGGCTGATGTACCAAGTATTAATCACAACATACAGTAGTCCTGTTCTCAGGTGTGGCTGTTTTTTGTCAAGTAGAACACTGTAAATGAGTTTTCCACTGTAATAGTTGTCAAGATTATTTTTATTTATTGCACTTTTCCCCATCCATGACAATCAAGTAGATGGGCTCCCATCCCAAAAATGGAAGAACTTCTTGACATTAGCAGAAGTGGAAGCTAACCCCCCATATTTTTTTTCTGAAGAAACAGAAGGTTAAAAATGAAAGGAGGCTATATGGCCCATCTGGTCCTTTTGATAATAAGTAGCTAATAGATCAAGGATCTCATCCAGCTGTTTCTCGAAAGAAGCCAGGGTTTTAGTTTAAACATGGTTGGGCAAGCCTCTTCCATTCCTCCACAACCTTTGTGTAAAGATGAGCCTCCAGTCCTCAGATATAAGTTACAGTTTGCACTTATGACCCCTACTTTGTATTTAACTGCTGATGCTGACGATCAACAAGAGAGAGAGTCTAGGTCACCCCAAGCAACTTGGTTGATCAGAGACCCCATTCTCTTCAAAAGAGAAAAAATGTCCAATTTTACCACTGTTCCAGCATACCATTACACTGAACACTAAGAAATAATGCCTGATGGTGCCAACAGAAACAGCCAAATAAAACAAAGACAGACAGGAGGTACTCTGTAATCTTTCACTGTTGCCGACTTCATTCTGTGACAGACATGTGGAGTGTGACCTTGATGACACCCACTATGTGAAAAGAAATGCTCAGTCAGCAATCGAATATGCCATTTTGCTTAGCCTTGCCAGCTGGTGCACATTTCGTATATTTTTCTACATCTAAAAGGCACGCCAGCAAAGGCTTTCAATAACACCAGAAGCAACTGATAAACCATGTCCTTTAGAGTTCAGTGCTCTACGATCCAACTTCTAAGGTGTGGAAGAAGATCAGCTGTTATCAACTAGCTCACGATACATTTGCGGAAGAAAACTGACAAAGGAAAGGAGACTGCTCACTGGGAGAAAAAAAAAATCTCCTCTACCATCCCACCTCCCAACTCAAGAGACAATACTATTCTAAAGTCAAAAGGCTTTCAAAACAGGCACCTTAACTTTTTTATATAAAAAAAACAAAGAAAACACTAAGCACATGGAGGTTACAAACATTTACATATCAGGATGAGGCACCCGAATTTATGACTAAACTCATTTATGAGTTCCCTTAGAAGACAAAGCTTCAAACCATCATATCTGAAAGATGGACTAAGTTCTGTTCATCTGAGAAACCCGAAGACCCTTCAGGTGGTGGATAAGCCAACCAATTACCCACCACCTTTACAAAGCCAAAAGCATTTTAATCATGGCATTTGGCCTAGGTTGATGCTGACAGTTTGAGTCGGTCATTCTTCAAACTATCAAAATTATCTCAGTGCCGGGTTGATCAGAGCTGCAGAATCACAAAGAATGAAATGTCTTCCTGTTGCAGATACAGAACAATTACCAGACTCATACATAAAAACTGAAGCTAAAAAGGAACTGTGATGAACAGGTTAGACTCTTGATTTTGTGGTGTTACAGTTACACATGGGCAGCACAGTAGTGCACTGGTTAACATTGCTGCCTTGCAGTGCTGGGACCCTGGGTTCAATTGCAGAGCTGGGGCACTATCTGCATGGGGTCTGTATGTTCTCAAGATCACGTGGGTTTTCCTGCAGGTACTCCAGTTTTCTCCAGTAGTCCAAAAACAAACTCCTAGGTTATTTGACGTTAGAGAAATATTGGCCCTAGTTGCAAATGTGTGCATGTCTGTGTTTGTGTGTGCCCTGTGCAGGACTGGTATGCTCTCCAGGGTGTACCCTGCCTTGTGCCTGTTGCTTGCAAGATAGTTTCAGCACCCCCGTCCGTAACCCTGAATTAGAAGAAACGTTATGAAAATACAGGAATAGACAATTAAAGTTTCTACTTGAATGTGTTTGACCATTGTATTGTGCAGCAATCAATTTAACACTTGAAAGAACTGTCATTTAAATTAGGACAAAAGAAGTGAAGAAACAAACTTCATTATAGCCAAGAAATTCATCAGACTAATTTATGGATTCAACTGAACTAGAAAAATACTTTGCAAATGCAAAACCTGCCAACCCACAAAGATCCTGCATTCAAGTAGATAGGAAAGCACTGTGGTTACAGTGCTAGACTGCCGTTCTGCAGCAAAAGGAAGTGCTCGTTTTTTAGTTCTCTAAAGATAGAATACCGTGTACGAAAGGGAACAGAACAGAACACCAGTGGGTTTGCAGAGGACGGGAGAAAATAATTATGATCTCAATGGTTCTCACACTAAGCAGAATAGAAAGAGTGAATCATTCATTGCAGAAGCAGATCATTCATGCCACCAACAAATGAGACTGTCTGAATAAAATGAAAATGGGATTTCACTAAGTTAAAACGGATCCCATGCTTCACACAACATAAAAGAGGACCATAATTATCCATTT